GGATTTGAAATGTACTTACCTCTGTGCATGTTGTATGTTGATGTGGTTTTGATTAGTTGTTTAAGCATGGTAGTGATTTTATAGTATGAGATGAGAGGTTGATGTTTTGAGAGGTTTATATAGGCATGTGTGTGCATAAATTTGGTGAATGATGCATTGTACACCATTATACTGAATTGGTACTAAGAGGGAAGAAGACTGATCACCTTCCTTCTCATCTTGGTTAAGTGAAGTATTATGGCATGCAACTCATTATTCCAAAAAAATTTATCTGAAAGTGATGTTTGTTTGTGTGTTGATACATGTTGCATTTCATATGGTGGTGAGTTGTGAGTATTGCATGGAAAGGAATAGGATGGATAGGAGATTGAAGGATAGGAACATAAGATAAATCCGGTCTTTCTGAGTGAATTTGAGGTTGTTTTAGAGCTTAGGGAGTTGAAATACTTCAAGGAATAGGATATTTGAGGTGAATAGGTGCTAAGGGTGAAATTTGGAAATTTTGGAAAATGACTATATATAGGGACTTAGGACCGGAGGGTCTCATTTGTTACACAGAGACAATTTCTATAGAGAGGAAGTAGAGAGAGGAGCTCTGGTCCGGAGGGAAGCTGAGGACACATTTGGAAAGCTTATCAAGCCAGGATCAATTTTCACAACTAGAGTTCAAGAGATTTGGCCTCTAAAGCCTTGAAAAGGGGGATTAAAGTTTGAGTTGGTATTTGAGGGTTTTGTCCAAATCTTGCATTTATGAGGTTTCTAAGGTAAAGGTAGTACTTATAAGACTTAATTTGGTATGTATGGGTTTGAAATATCACATTGATTCCATGTTTTAGGCATGATTGAGGATGGATTGAGTGGAAAGGGTTTTGGTAGGGTTTCCCTATGATTTCCATGGATTAATGGTTAATACTTGATTTTATTGCTTAAAATGTTGTTTTTGGATATTGTTTATGCTTTATAATGGTTCAAACTCAGGTAATTTGGATTGGATTCATGATTGGAAGGAATTTTCAAGGTTTTTCGAGGGTTTCTGGTTGTAATTGCGCTGGGCACAGTTCTTGGCGCTGGACATGAATTCATTAGAGACCATCACTTCCAAATCACGCCGGGCGTAAGGTTAGTCACGCCGGGCGCAATTTGGTCACTGAATATTGCGCCGGGTGCAATGGCCTCTGTAGGTCTCTGTTTGAGTTATGCGCCGACGCGATATTAGTGCGTCGGGTGTGAGTATTTTGGTCTTGAAGTCTTCATGAAAGTTGTAGCCTTGGATGTTAGCTTTCCAATGGCGTTGGAATCACCCAAAAAGGAGGTCTAGAACTCCATATATGACTGTTTTAGTGAACAGAGGTCAAGCTACCAGCATTGGTTATAGCTGTTGCGGTTTTTAGAATTTTTAACAAAGTAGATGATGGAATTAGGACTTGATGTCTTCATAAGAGTTGTAGGAAATCTTCTTATCTTTCATATGAGATAAATATGAGCATGATAGGATTAGTATAACTCTTGTTATGCTGTTTTATATGAAGATTATCATTTCACAAAGGGTAATTTGGTTAAGTTGATAGTTGTTTTGGGTGTTTAATTATTTATGTTGTTATATTGAGTAATTTGGCATGGTTATAGAAAATTTTGTATGTAATTATGGAATATGCTATGTGTGTTTGGTTTGGAAAGCTAATAGGACTTAGAGGAGTAAGGTTATGGTATGGATTGGGAGATTTCTTGGTGAGATCAGGATATAATTTTTGGAAAAATATAGAATTTAGGAGTCCCATGGTGAGGGTTCCAATATGGAACTTTTCCAAAGATTATATAATAAACCACTTCAGATGTTAGGTGGATTCTGAAGTACTCCTCTAAGTATTCTATTTGCTACCGGTATGGGGGCAAGGCCGAGTCATACCGATGGATGAAGTGGCCGCGATCACCAGGGTTACGTGACGACGTAACCCAACTATATATTTTCCATGAGAGTTAGGTGTGTGACATGGGCAGGTGACATGTTCACAAATTCAACACTTGGTTTGGATGTGTTGAGGTCAACATTTGGTTTGGATGTGTTGGCTACTTCATGGGATTATACAGTGGTGTGACTTTGGTTTGGATGTGGAATATGTATGCATTTGGTATGGATTGTATACATTGGTTATGGATTCTTTATTATCATAGAATATGTATGCATTGGTATGGATGTGTATACATTGGACTTTGGATTGGTTTATATTTGGCATGGAAATGACTTGTTATAATGTTGTCATTCCCTTGGTATGGATACATACTGTTGATGAATATCTAGTTTAATGATATTTCATTATGTTGTACTATGGTTGGTTTTATACATGTTAACCCTTATATTTCCATGATGTGGACTATGATGATCTCACTATGTGGGAGAGAAGATCAGGTGTGAGGCTTTGGGATAGCAAGGAGTCTTTTGGTAGCTGCTTTGAGAAGTGGCTAGGCTTAGAGCTTGACCAGCACCTAGGGTGTCTTATTTTGATGTCTTTATGACGTTGTATATTCATTATCTTTTTGGATTACTGTATAACCTTGCTGAGGATGACTCTTTTATAAAATTATGTTTTTAGATGATGAAAAACAATTTATACATTATTGTATATTTACACTCTAGTGTAGTTGGTCTTTGCTCTCTTTTCTTAATTATATTATTTTATTTTAGTTGTATTATTAGTTATTGATGTGACGGCCTACGGCGGGTCGTTACAGTATAAGTTAAACTAATCATAGTTACATGTAACCAATGTTAGGTTAACTTGTATGACCACTAAATTTACACTTTAAAATTTTTATTTTCTCCCAAAAATGTCATTATCCTAAAAGACTCAGTAGAGGCATGACATGTGGCATGGTATAAGTGGTGTGACTAAATGTCATCATCCTAAATCTAGAAGAGCCAATGAGAACATGTCACATGGTAAGGCGTTAAAAATGGGACTAGGTATGACACATGTGACTTGTTGGAATTTGAATGAACTATGAGACTTCTTTTTACACAAAGTAGATGTCCACCATGAGGCTTCCAACACCTTTTTCACTCTCTCATGGGTCATTCAAGCCTAATAAACACATCTCATTTTCTAGTTACACACTTTCTAAAATACTAATTACACTCCTAAAAGAAAATTATGATGAAATAATTTTCTATACTAATTAACCCAAAAAATACAAGGTTAAAAATAAAAAGAAATATTTACAAGAAATATTTTTCTTCAAGTTTATCTCACTCCTCTTAATTCTTTTTGAACTCGACCTATAGACATGATGTCATCATATCATTATTATAAAAATCAACATATTTATCATAAATAATAGTTTGTGATTGAACGATATTATAAAGCTATTATAATTTGTTGACGTATAATTTTTTTTTTTTACAGATTATTTCCTAGAATTTTCAATAAAGCAAAAAGATAATGTTTCTTCACAATCCTAAAACACCTTAAAAAAACTATTAAAAATATTTTATATTTGAATCAAATTTTATATTCTTTCTAACTTCTAATCACTTTGAAAAGGTTAAACAAATACATGAAAACTAAAAAAACATTTCACAAAATATGTTTTTGGTTAAAAAGGTAATTGCAAAACCAGTATTCTACTCCTCTTAATTCTCTTACTTCTTGTTTAGATCATGACTAAGGCAAGGCCAATAAGACCATTACCTTTGGCCACTAACTAAGTTCTTAATTTTATTTTATATTTTTTAGAACAATTAATTTTAATTTTAATAATTAAATAATATATTTTGTTATATTATTATAATTAATTTGTTATTATATAAAATCATACAGTTATTTAAAATATATACATGAATATTATTATATGATTATTAATTTGATAAATTTTATTATTTAAAAAACTATATTATATCTGTTTTAAATTTCAATAAAAAAATGGTATTGAAATGATTATAAAAATTATATTCATAAAAAAATAGTACGATATATATATATAAAAATGAATGAAATGATAGTGATAAGAGTACATCCGATTAAAGATTAATTCTTCGGTTCTTCTAAAAAAAGTATTTTCTGATTTTAATTATTTTGTATAAATATCAAATTAATGTATTATATTTTATTGACAACTTATTTGAAAATATTTTAAAATATGGAATCACTTAAAAAAATTATTTCATGTTCAATAAATAAAATTTAGAAGTAAATATTATCAATTGTATATTAGTGATCATGACTTTTTTCTTTAAATTGAAATTTCTATAAAAAAAATACTAACAATATAAACTAGTATTCCGTTATTTTTTAATATAGTATAATACTTATAACGGAATACTACTATATAAACTAGTATTCCGTTATAAGTATTATACTATATTAAAAAATTATTTTCTTAAACATAACATGTGTGATATATGTTTATAGAATATTATAAATGATATTTGTAATTATTGTTATTATCCTTTTTAAAAATTATTTTTTGATATTTAATTTGTGATTATATTGCAAAATAGTAATTGAACGAATTATATGTTGAAAATTTTTAATTATTAAATTTAATTAATAATTTCATTAATTGAAAATTAAAATTAATTAATTATATAAGAATATGACTCATAAAAAACTTGCCTTTTAAGCTTAAAATTTGTTGGACAGCCTCTTTTCTATAGTAAGTATTAAGTGCGTTTTATATTTTCATGATATTTAATGAATTTTGAATTTAATACTTTCTTTAATACTTTTTGTGATATTTTTCCTATTTCATAAAGATTTAAAATGTTAACTAATTTAATTGATAACATTAAATTTATTCTATATTTTTTTATTATTCTAAAACTACCTTAACATAAATCAAACACTTACTTCACCAACTACCTCCTGAATCAAAAGAAATAACTCTAAATACGGTTGCAGTTTCAATTGTTTTCCATAAATCATAAACAATATGCCTTAATTTACAGCTTCAATTAGGAAAAAGAAACAAATTTCAAAGGATTCTTCCCATTCTATGGCGCATAATTAAGGGGAGAAAGAATGCAGTTCCTTTCCAATTATATTCAAAGGTCTTAATTTACAGCTGCTGAGATAAATATTTCATTATCAACAAAAGGGCTTCAAATCCCATATACGGAAATTTTTTAGTCGATTGCTGGATAATGCCTGCATCTACAAGCCAGCATATTTGTAGGCAAATTTGGATACGAGATAAAGCCAATAATCATATACAGTGTGACACAGGGATCTCCACACTTTAATTCATATGTGAAATAGAAGTCATGGATAAAACACCTTGTATTACATGCTATATATCCAAAAGCTCATCCAAATGTACATTCGAAAAACCCCTGTTGTTGCAAGTGGTCTCAAACCAACAAGCCTGACACCATTTCATAGATCAACACCCTCATCAAGACCTTTGGAACCGATCATCACGTTTGATTCGATTTGCTTGTCAAACTTCTTTTTCCTCCTTGCTTCAAACTCTTGAAACCCCTCCATCTAGATCATTCACCAAAAGTTCAATTGTATTGAAAATTGAACATTATAGATTTAGCAGAAAAATAGAGGAGGAGGAAGGAATGGAGGATAAATATAGTACAAGATTGTACCTGCTGAAATTGATCCATTGATATAGGATTACCATGCAGTGATATGCTCTGAAGAGCTTTGCACTCTTTCAATAAATTCAGAGGTATCTGTCCAAAAGGAAACCAAAGTATCATTAGACATTTGAAATCTAAGGAAATTGGTTTTGAATATAAACTGACAGGGAGATTCAGATGCGATGGATTCATAAATGTAAAACAAAATAGAAAAGGAAAAACCAATATGCACTGCACAAATAGTTTATTAACAAGGCTTATGGCCCACAAAATGGGCAACTATGAGGCCAGACTCCAATTCTAATATCAGCTCAGCAATGCACCACTTGATCAACTCTTACAAATGCTTGTAGTGAATAGCTACCAATACATTATATGCTGGGAATGAAACTGGATACTACTGATATTCTAGCAACATAACTTTCTGGCGTGAATAATCATATGCATTCCCCTCAGAGAAAGCCAATGCAAAAAGAAACAGGTACAGCTTATTGTAATGACCAAAGCCTGCTTGTCATTGATTTTACCATCCCTACTGCTAAGTCAAAACATTATCGTACTACATATATATATATATATATATATATATATATATATAGTGGTGGAAGTTAACTTGGTAAATAGAAATAACTCCAAGCAATAGGTAAACCATTCACTCAAGTAATTTTCAAGTTTATGCTTTCAATAAGAAATGACTCGGATTCTTCAGAAGCAAAAATAATAATCAAACAATTCACAATCTATCATTCAAGTCTGTAAAGTGTGTATAATACCTAACACTTGACAAAACAAACTCTTATATAACAGTAACAACAGCCTCAACAGATAAAAGAAACACTCTAATAGGTCTCCTATAATATGTTAGTGCTGATCAGTTTCGTAACAGTCCTGTCAAGAGACTCGAAGAAATTCATGCTAAGAGACTACCCTGACCAATAATTTGATTTTGTATAAAAAAAATATTTAAGAGTTATGAAGTACATAAAGTAGTACAACCTGAGTTCTGAAGTTTTGCTAATCCTCCCAAAATCATAAATAAAAAGTATGCAATATCCAAAACAGTAAGCAATTAAGATCAAGATGTTCAAATTTTATGTATTATGATGTACCATGTTCTGAATCAGGCAGTTATAAACTTATAATTCCGTATTCAAAAGTTATATTAGGCAGTATCTATATTCTAATTTCAGATTAGACAGTTATAGTGATATATATAGATTGTGTGACAGACTTGTAGAAGGTAATCAAGGTGTCAAATTGTTATTTCTAGTGTTTTGAAGGAGGAAACTCCTGGTTTGGAAGAAATCATGCTTTTTTTATACTTTAGAAAAAGAAAGACAGCAGTAACAGAGAACAAAACTAAATGTGCCTAGGACTAAGGTTCCTATTGCATCAGCAAACAACAAGTGAGTCATGGCTGGAGGACACGAACAAAACACCAGCAGCTGATTATCACCCGAGACACCATATTTAGCCAACCAATTGGCTCAAAAATTAACCTCCTAAAAAGAGTGAGTGAATTTTCTAAACCATGGGGAAGTACAGATGAGTAACTTGAACACCATCATTTATCGGATCAAGGGTGCTAGTCAAAACAGATTCACAAATAATATCAGAAAAGTTATTCTAGCGAGCCAACATTACACCATGGTAGATAGCTTGTAATTCAGCATTTAGCACTGTGGTAATGCCACATAAACCGGCATAACGACAAAGCCAAAGTCCATTTTTATCTCTAACCAATCCTCCAAATCCTGACTTGCCTAGGTTTCCAAGGGAGCTACCATCAATGTTGAGCTTAACTACAGAGTTGGTAAGGGATGCCAGTGAACAGAAAAATCTGCTTTAGGAGCCTGATTACTTTTCAACAGTAGCTTAGACGAAATAGAATGAAGATTAAGAATCTTGTGGATCAAAGCCAGTCTTGGAGAGTTTTGCCATTGAAGATTTTTCTCCAAATAATCCAGCAAGCTGTTGCAAAGAGGGACCCATTTGGACCAGTAGCATTTTTTCAGCCATGAGGAGACATCATTATCATATCCATGATGAAAGACACCCAATTTTAGCAAATGCCAAACATTAGAAACCTTCATGCAATCATGGAGGAGATGGAAATTGGATTCCACATTTGCTCCACACCTAAGGCAAGATGAGTCTAGACTAAGATGTCTGAAAAACCGAAAATGGAAGAATTGTGTTTATTTCTACGAGCCACGAAGAATTTTATATTTTCTGGTAAATGGAAGAAACCCTGTGTTTGTTAGGGGGAAGCTGTGGTTGTTGATAAGTGTACTCAAATGTGGCCTAAAAGCTAGATAATTTCTATAATTAATTCAGAACTGTGTTTATTTCTTGAGTCCAACATATTTGCAACACATGTGGTTCTTAATACATCCACCATGTTAAAGTCACATAGAAAATTAGCAATTTTGGCTGCTTAGTCAACCAAGGTTTTTTTTTAATCCTTCCATATAAAATTTGTTTTGCTAGTATATCAACACAAACTCCAAAAATTAGTCTAGTATATCTGAGCGGTGCAATATCAGCTACTAAGGATCTAGTCTACCTCAAGATTTAAACCACAAGAGCATCATAATTCTTGGGTAGACCATTGAGGATAACATCAAGGTGTTCTCGCTGCAACACTAGAGGTCCAATACGAATAGCCAGCAAGGAATCAAATAGGGCTTTAATATGCCACAGATATTCCAATACTTCTGTAACTGTGTTCCTCAACTCAGATAAAAGCTGAAACATTTTAACTCAAATATGAGAATGGCAGAAATTATCAATTTCATCCCACAGATGCCAAGAATGAAAGCAGTCAACTAAAAAAGAAAGAAGAGCTTCTAACATCGACGAAAGGAACCATGAAAACAGCAAATGATCCTGCTACTCAAGTGTATACAACATTCATGACAATACTACAATCACGGTCTTTTCAGGAGAGATGTCAATCAATATCAGGATTAACAACACAGCAATGGATTTAATGTCCTCAATCGCTGCTTCAACCTATTAACTTGCTTCCATAACAGGTAGATTTTCTCATCCAATGTTACAGAAACTGAGTGTAAGAAGTTTATTGTAGTGCTCACTGGAGATGAAGAGGTGTAAGCATCAGCCAAAATGGATTTGCGTGCAAAGCCAGATTCTTAAAATCAAGATTTTAGCTAGGATCGGGAGGGGATGAAAACTGATCACTCAAGAATTGTAACTTGGATCTTACTATCCTACATTCCTATTTAAAATGCAAAATTATATTTATATATCATATATGCATAAATAAAATAAAAAAACATTGATAAGAAATATAACCTGTAAATTACAACATTAAACAAAATTAAATTGAAACTCATAACATAATATCAAGTATAATTAACAGAATAGTCATATTATTTTATTAATAATTAACAGAAAAACACATATTATAATCATTTTAAAAAGTCCTAGTCCCATTCTCTAAATAATTATAATTATATATTATACGGTTAGGCTGATCTGTAACCAAAAAACACGCATAGGCCCATTCCAAAAAGCACTTGGAAATTCAGATAAGAGACAAGAACAGATAAAACAAGAGCACATAGCAAATCACATTGTCTTGCATACACGTTGCACAACAGAAGAACGGGCAAACTGCTATGAAGTGTAAGCAGAAGAAAAGAAAGCCTCTAGCTACAAGTTTGAACAAAGCAGAAGAATAACCCATTGTTTGATGCCCTCTTTGCTAATCAAGCACGTTTGAACAATGCTCCGTTCGGAAAAAAACAGGGGCAACTTGCAGCAGCACAGATCGGCAGTAGATAGCAACTTCAATATTTGGTGGTTGCAATCAAAAAGGAGTTGCAAATGGGTGACGCCTGAGCAAATAGAACCATGAAGAGAAAGGGGGTATATTTCAAACGTGGAAGAAAACACTTAAGGTTTTCAAAACTGGGTCAGATGAACCCCAACTCGGTTTTTTTGCCCACATAAAGATCAATAACAATCGATGGACAGGCACTCCTACAAGTAAAGTCAAAATTTTACTCTGATCCTACCTCCGATTCAGCATGGGAGCCCTCCTTTAATACATAGAACTGTGCGATTAAAAAAGGAAATCACAATCTTAACAACCTTGGTGCAAAGCCATTGCTCAGATAGCAATCTCATGATAACATGTAGAAATTCATGAACAACTGAGAAGTTGAATTTAAGGAAAGAGAGTGATTTGTGAATCAAATGATTGCTTTTATTAGTTCAACAGGTTGAACTCCAAAGAGAGTTCTCATGTATTTTGAGCACCTTACTACTAGTAAAGACAGATGAAGATCCTAGCTGATTCGGTTATATGACAGCTGTTATGGAAGCTAGACTTCTAATTGTACATTTGTATATATTTGTAACAATGCTTAACTAGCTCAAGCCAATTGTATTTGATTCATACTGTGGAAGAGTTGAGTTTTGAGTCTTTTGACAACTCAAATCCTAACCCATGACAAATGATGATGCTATTTCTTCAGCTGAGAACTATATTAGCTAGCATATATGTATTCTTTCTACATTTTTTCTCCAAAAAAAACTTATGCATACGCTTTATCTTAATCCTAATTATTTTTAAATTTGTGGATACAAAGCCTAATCCTATAAAGCCTCCCATAAATTTTATTTTACTTCATTTTTTAATAGTCTCGGTATATTTGTTAAAATCATTTTGTTAATTTAAAGGTAGAGATGTAACAAGTTCCATCAGATGAATTCAGGTAGCTGGACTTAGTAACCTGATATAATCAGGCCAAACCTTCCTCACCTGTTTTGCTGATGCTTTGAAAAAATTCAAGGACTAAGTACTTGCTTCCTAATTCATATAGAATTACAATGGGTAGCTTCAAATTTCTAGTGAAGGAACATCTTTCAGCCACTGGTTTTACACTACAGTCGGATAGTCCTCAGAAGATATCCATCCAGAACTAAATTTTAGAACATAATGAAAAAGTTCAACACACTCAAAAAATAAATTAATTAATACAAGAGACAAGAAAACAATAAAGTACATTCAATCAAGCCCAACACTTCATAACCTAGGTTTCAAAATCACAAAACACTACCTGCTTCACATTGTTGTTGTCCAAGCAAAGTGACTTCAAGTGAGATAGATTGCACACCGAAGAGGGAAGATCTTCAATAACGTTATCTGAAGTGTTTATAAAAAGGGTGGAAGACAAATAGAAAGATAGCATGAAGGCAGATCCTTGTCATCAAGCTAACAATCAATAAAATCCAGTTGAACAAACACACACGTGAATATGAATTAGGACACAAGGAAAACACACACACACGCACACAAATATTCAAACATATGCATTACCATGCTCGTGCAATACATACATGAACTTTCCATGTCAATCAAAAAACATACCATTAGCTTGTAATTCTTCCAAAGAGAAGCAACTTCCAACAGATTCTGGGAGAGACTGTAACTTGTTATTTGACACATTTAAAAGCACCAGCTGCATTATCAAACAATGCATTAGACCTCTGAAATTTAAGAAAGGCATACATTTCATATCAAAATTTCCCAAACTAAACTGCAAACACTATAAGGGCTCTTTTCAGTTTCATTTATTATGAGTGCATGTAAGTCCCATGCAAATCAAAATCATAAGTCTTTCTAGCATAAATTCTACTTTAAGATTACAATATGCATGTCTATTGAAGAGTCCCTAAATTCTAAAGGTCATAATTAATATATCTCATGGTTAGAAGTCAAGCAAATGTCAATAGAAAACTGATATTCTCTAAAAGCAGGAACAGTTGCACAAAAAAGGATTATAACGAGTAAGATTAAATCATGTCTTACACATGTATGACATGGACACAGCAACCTTTTTGAAATGCCTGCACTTAAAAGGATAGTAGCAAACAAAGTTTTAAAATTATACAGCCATGATCAATGATACTCATAGTCATATCAAGATATGAATGCATTAAGCATGCAATGAATCATAGAAGCCATAGAAAAGTCAAATGTCATGATGTATAATTACTTACATTTCTCAAACTTCCAATAGTTGCGGGCAAGGATGTTAATAAATTGCCGGAGATGGATAAGCGTTCAAGCCTTACTAACTGGCCCACTATAGAAATAATGCCTTGTCAGTTATTATAAAGAGACAGAAAAGTTCTACCAAATGCGTGTCATGTAAGCAAATAAGATAAAAATATTTCTTTTAAACAGTTACTGATTGGATTAGAGAAGAGAATTACATTCATCAGGCAAGGAAGTAATTCGATTTCCATCCAAGTTCATCAGTTTCAGAGATTGGAGTTTCCCCAAATTCACTGGCAATCTCTCAATGAGGTTCTCCGCTAATACCTGGGAAGTCAGTGCAACTTTAATATGAAATGGTATTTGTAATCAATCTTTAACAAACTGAATCTCTTTTAAAAAGTTCAAAGCAACCACTACCAAAACACTACCATGGCAAAAATAAATGAAAGGTGGCAGAGTCTTAACACGTGTTCCAAAAAGCATGAGTTTCAAAGTGAATAAATAAACTCCAAATTTAACGATCAATGAGTAACCGAACTATTAAAGAAAAAACAACAATATGGCAGGGTTAAAGGTGCGAATGAAGCCAAACTTCAATCCAGCCTGGAGTGGACTTCACATTCATAACGTTTATTTGTCCCTTTTCTAGATAAGTCTAATGAGTGGTGTAAAAGAGGCACAAATTCAACGAAACGTACTCAAGTCAACGATAATTGGCTAAAATACTGATATTATCAAACTCCAAAAGAGGGCTATTAGTTTCGCGCCAAAATCTAGTTTAGCTTATTTAATTTACCAACCGTTCATAATTCAACAGCATCAGATAAAATCCATAATCAATGTCTCAGTCCCAATATGTTGACAGTAAATACTCAATAAAAGCTACCATCCCATAGGCATAGGGTAATAGTTGATCCTTACCAGGCGCTGTACATTAATTAATTTGCTGATTTCCACGGGAATGTCAACTGCAGTTAAGATCATGATTTATTAACAATAAAATAAGAGAAACAACAATAGTCATAACAACTCTTCAGAGGGAAGGCATTTCTACTCAAGGTCAAAACTAATACACCCACTTCAGAGCAACATCATCTTAACCAAAATGTACAGAAAAAAAAAATGAAATTAAAGAAAGAAAAACCGCTTACCTATTCGATTATGGGTCAAGTCAAGCGTTCGAACAGATCTGTCTAACTCAAGAACTTCGTCCGGAAATGTCTATTAGCAGAGGCTCCATGGTTAGTAAGTGGATTTCAAAAAAGCACACAAATAGAAATACACAACAAGAAATAAAGCACGTTGGTTATCTGCCTAATAATAACATAAATTCCTAATTTTCAACTTATCCCCCCATAACTCATAAAATGTTCTGGACATGGGTCTTGCCAGTATCACACAACACTTCTACGAAAATCAAATTAGACCAACAAATCACCCTAAAAACAGTTTCACTTTACATGATTCAAACAAGTAACAAAGATGACACCACTAAAGTGGCCTACCCAGCACAACTGAACTAATACATCCTTTCAAGCCCATAAAAACATAGAAAATTAACCATTCCTAAAGCTTTCAATCTATAAGCACATACCAAGTGCAAAGTAAGAGGAAGAAAATACTATAAACAGTGACCTAGGTATCAACCACTTAACATCACAAGCTTTTATTTTTCTGACACTAGAAAAACTTTAACATACAACACTGCTAATACCCCACCCCACATGCATCAGTGATCTTAACAAACAAAATGGGAAAACCCATTGCAATTTAGTGATACTGAAAAGAGGAAAAATTGATTCATAACAACCCAATAGAGAAAAAACATAGTTGAGAGAGAGAATTGCCTTCAATTTTGAATCGCGCAAAGCAACAATGCCCGTGGATCGCCAACGCGCGGTCCTAGTAGCCTTGGTGTCAGCGTTTTTGCTGGCGAAACAACCCATCTCACGGAAGAATGAACAATGAATGATTCGTTGGTGAAATTGATGAAGGAGAGACAGAGACAGAGTCAGAGAGCAGGGGAACAAAAACCGCGTTTTGTTTTTGTCCCACCCACAATGTTTGAGAAATAATAAAATATAATCTATACTAATATATTATACTCTTTTATTTTAAAAAATTAGAAAAAATATTTATTAATTAAATTTAAGAATTTGAAATTAATAAATTTATATTAATATATAAGGGATACTAATTTTAATAATTATTTTTAATTTTCATTTTTATATGAATTATTTTATTTTTTATTTATTTTTAATAATTGTTACTTTTTTTATGAATAACTTCTCATTTTTTTTTTAATACAATGCAGACACGCAATATTTTTTTCCTGCTAGTAATCTATGACTATTATAAAGAGGATATTGGAGATCTAACCACTTTTTGGTCTCTATTTTTTAATGGGTCATTATACCTCCAAATGTAAAAAAAAGAACTTAAATTTTTTTTAAATAATTATATATAACTTTCTAATATTTTATTAGTGAATAACTATCAGAGATATTTCGTGCCTCTACCCCTCTAGTATTAATAGTGATATTTTCAAATATTAAAATGACATTCTTGCCCCTGAATTTCTTCCTAGCACCATAATTATAGCACTGGGGTTTTCCTTCTCAAGCAAAGTCTTCAAACCCATCAAAGCCAAACACATAAACTCATTTGTTGGTGATGGTGACCCTCACCTATTGTTTTAAAAATTGGATTGAACTGATCGGTCGAATTGGTTGAACCGGGAATCTGTGGTCCAACCAGTCCAATTCTTAAGTTTGATCGGTTATGCATTCGACCTATTTCAAACTAGAGTAACGGATCAGTTTTTCGGTTCAATCAATGAACCGGTTGGTCGAACCAATGGGTCAAACTAATTCAACTAAAATAAAATTTTGGTATTTTTATATTTTTTTATACAAAATAAAATTTTTAAATAAGATGAAAATTGAAATTTAAGATACGATATGATATTAAAATTTATAAGTATAAAATATATTTAACATGAATATTTTTTTAGAAAAAATAATAAAAACTAGATCATGCGGTTTAATTAGTGACCCATCAATTAAACCTCTAACCCACTGACTCAGTACCCTAATTGATTTGATGACTGATCTGAATTTTAAAACTATGCACTCATGATGGCAACTCCAAGTGGAAAGGATTAATGTTCTCCACTCCTTGAGTTGCTCGGCCTTATGATCACTTTCTTGAGGTGTTGATGAGAGAAATGGTCACGGAAAAGATGAAGAAGATGAAGATGGAAGAAGAAGGAAGCACTTGAGCTAAAGGAGCAAAGGATTGCTCACAAATGTTGACCTAATTTCCTATAAGAGAAGCTAAGAAACTTTTCGGCCAAGGTGACTTTGAGGGAGAGAATTGTTGAATAAATTTTCAGAATTCTCATAAAAGATTCAAAGTGAATACAAGAATGAAGGATTTAAACTTATATAGGCTCGGTTAGCAAGCAAAATGGTGCCAAGGTTCAAGCATCACATTTGGCGCCTAGATTTGAATTCAAATCTCCACTCCTATGTGTTTGGCCGTGAACCTAGGTGCTCTAATGCATCTAAATTTAATTTAGGAAGCATTTAGGATGATTTGAATGTGCACATGTTCAGCCAGAATATTGGGTATCAAAAGCACAAAAGCCCATGAAGCCCAAAACTAGGCCCAATAAGCCTAAAGCCCAAAAATCCTAAACTAAAGTCCATAATACTAGACCAAAACAACATGAATTCCTACACTACTAAACATGCAATAAAAGAGGTGATCATCCATGCAAAGCCCAAGTGAAGAGAATCCTAGGCCCACCAAGTCCATTGAGCCCACTTAGCTCTAAAGTAGTCAAATATTCAAGTAATCTTCTAGCCATAGCTCTAGTGATTGGACCCTTGGTCCATATTCTTCCACCAACTCATCCATGAAAATATGAATACTATAATGCACTATTCCCTTCTAGTACATGCATATGTGTATAATATTAGAGCTTCTCTCATTCTTCTTCGCAAGAACCTCTTCATAGTCCACAACAATGTAAAGCTAGGCAAGAGGTTGGATCGATTCAGAATTTGTTGTGTTTACTGTTTAGCATGGCAAAATGGAGGGCAATTAAAGGAGTATATCGGTATATAGTGTCTTATATTTTATTTTAAAAATTTAATATAAAATAAAAAAGAATGTCAAACAATATAGGTGTTTAAGAATTTAAGATATTAGTAATTATTTTTTTTATTTGTCACATTTTTAGAAAAATTTTATTTTTATTAGAAATACTTTACTATGAGTGGGATGAATGTTTGCATTACTTGTTTAACTTTTAAACATGTTGAATGTCGTGAGTTGGTAAATGTTATGAATTATGAGATGTTTATTATTGATTTACACGTGATGTTAATAATAATATAGAAATTTTTTTTATACAAACTTGTTTTTGAAATTTAACTTCCTTTTGTATACTTTTTTGAAGTTAAAATTATGATAATTATAATATTTTATGAGAGTTAAGCAAAGATAAGTATACAAAGGTTTATATGAAGGCATGAGTCGGATGGTAGTTTTATGTTTGGTGTTTCCATGCTACAATTGAATAGTTTTGTATAGGTTTTTGCTTACCCAGCATTCAAGTTATACATTTGACATTTATCAAATTATTATTATTATTATATATATATATATATATATTATTTATATTTATATAGTTGCTTTCACACTTATATGTATATTATATTGTATAGATAATTGTAAATGTGTAACTATGAGTAGTAATAATAATAATTTTTATAATTAATAAGTGATGTCATTAAGCATAATAATCAAAATGAGTCGTTATAAGTATTATTTAAATTTTTGTGCATATAAAATTTATAAACCTAATATTTTTAATAAAAATATCATTATATTAGGTAAAATTTATATATATATATATATATATATATATATGTATGTATATGTCAATATATATATATATATATGATCGAAGCCGTATCCGGTCAAATAAATGTAATTAAATGTAGTACTAGGAAGTGACTCCTAGGTCGTCTCCCAAGGACCGTCTTTTATTGTTAAAGGCTTAAACACACGAAAGGGGGGAGGGGTTTGTTTGTTCAAATTTCAGTTATAACACAATAAAACGTAGATAAATCAGCAAATAAAACGGATTGGTTCCTTGTTCAAATTGCAACTCTTTTATCCCTGGTTCTCAAAAGATTTCTCTGTTCATAACTTAATCCTTGTTCCATCCGAGTTAACCAACTAAGCGAAGATTAACTCAAGATTTCTCTACACGAATTAAGAAAACGTATATAACATTAAACCTCCCCACAAGATTAAGCAACTTGTGAGCAACCTGATTCATTAAGCATGAACAGGTGTCAAAAACGTTTCAGAGGTTCAATGAAGAAGAACCAAGCAGAACACAGATACACATATGAATAAAACCTCAATTAGAGATTGCAATCTGCTCAAGGACCCAACCCCTGGATTTTTAGCCTTCCATTAAAACGGAAACAGAAACGAACATAGAAACAAAAATACAAACAGAAAATAAAACACAAACAGAAACGAAAATGCAAGGAAGGAGAACAAAACGAAAATGTAGGGCAGAGAAGGAAAACAAAATGAGATGAACAATTTGTATTCAAAATGAAAGTGGAGTCTCACATTACAACCAGAAAACCTAAAGAAAACATGAACAAAAATGGAGAGCAGCCCAAAAACAAAGAGAAAGAAAAACGTGAAAGGAGCAGAACAGGGAAGCCAAAAAAAAAGTAAAGGAACCAAGAATGAGAGGAGAGCTCCGTAGTCACATCAGCCTCTCATGTTAGTGGCTGCCAAGTCAGCCCTACCCTAGACCTAAATGAGCAAAAACGAATTGGGCCCAATAAAATACAAGTCTGACCAATTAAACTACAATAAAATAAAATATAAAATGAAAATAAATGTTGAGGTGGAAAATGGTGCAGCAGTGACATGGCAGATGACGTGGCAGCTCCACTTGAAGTCCAAAAATTAATTCCAAGCCCAAATAATTATTAAATTGCCCTCAGAATAAAAATTGGAAGAAAATTCAAATTAGTTAATATTATAAAATTATTAACATTATAAATTATTAAACTTATAAATTATTAAAATTACAAATTATTAATATTGTCAATTATTAAAAATATAAATTAAAATTATACATTATTTTATATACACGTTTATTTTAATTATAATAATAATATATTTTTATTTTAATTATATAATCTAAACAATAATATTATTTATTATTGTAATAATATTTTATTTATTTTTTATATTTTTAAAACTTTAATTTGTTATTTTAAAAAATCAATTTTTTTAAAATGTAATTAATAAATAACCCCTGCTTGGAATTTGACTCCCAGGAGATCGAATTTCACCAGGGTGCAACATTGGGGAACGCCACTATGCAGGTTAATTCGGCTTCTTGGGTACCGAATTCTAAACCTATAAAGTAAAAAGGTTTATTTGGATAAATAAAGGATGGGGGTTCTGACTGTTTTTTTTTTATAAATAATTTTTGAAAAGAATTCGCATTAACGCATTGAATTCATGCATTATGTGAGAAAACTACACCTCCCAATTTTGATTCAACATGAACAACCCATTCGACAAAAGATAGAAAAAGGGACAATCACCAATAAGCGTTTGTTGACCGACCATGGAGAAGGTGAACCCTATCTACCAGAATTGCCTATACCTTGAACAACCTTGTGTGATTCCATATGTCAAGGCTGAGATACCTCCATCGCCATGAATTTAGCTCTCTTGACAATTGCATAAATGTGATTATTTATAGCATGCTAGATGGACCAAAGAGTGACACCAAATAACGAGTTCCACCTCCCTATGGTTGAAAATAATTGTCAAAATGAGTTATAGTTTGTGGGCTAACCTGACCCACCTTGAAAACAGATCGGGCTGGACCAAAAGAATAAAAAATATTCTTAGTTGGTCCAAAACCTCAACTCAAACCACTTTTGACTCGACTCACTTGACTTGAACCCGTGGTGGATTGGACTGCCCACTTAACTCACACCTC